AAGCTGAATCGTATCTGTCATTTCAAGGAGGCTAGATCTCCCCTCTCCCGCCTGAGCTAAATCCCTGTGTTTGAGCAGGTATTGTCATACATACACATCAAGAAATCCTCTTCCATCACAGAACTAAATACAAGTAAGATAAAAATAAAAGTCTAGGGGCAAACTTTACCATGCTAGGGATACAGGAAATAGTGCTATTTGTATATGTCTGTTGCAGTTGGAATCCCAGCTAAACAGAAGGCAAGAAAAATCCACACAACATCTTGTATACTACTGACTGTAATGTATGTCCTTGTTGCCTGGATACCTCTAGTGAATTACCGAGCAAGGGTACGAGTCTTTTTCCTGGTAAGTATTAAATAAAAAAATCCCAACCTCCTACTCTGTAACAGGCAGAAGATGCACAGGGAGGCTTCCTGCGGCTGTGCCAGCTGAATGCCAGAAAGAGACAGATCAAGCCTTGAGAATTTTAAATCTTGTGGGTTGCCATGCCATGTTATGAAGTAAATCTCATACAATTCATCACCCAAGTTGCAGAAAAATAGTTCGAGAACTCAAAATAATGAATTCTGTCATTTCCAATAGAAGTGTGAAGGGAGAATTATGAATGAACCTTTTAAAAACACGTATGTGGAGGGAGATTGCCCTTCTACAAAATGAAAGCAGCAGGCTTCTATTTAAACGGCCCAATCCTGAAAGCGAGACCTTTCATTTTCAATTAACTTAAATTGACAATTGAGAAAGGTTTGAAAATGTTGTTGGAGCCCTTCAGTTTGATAGATTTCAGCTCTGACATTACACACTGCATTCTGACCTGATTTTCAGGGGGTGCTGTTTTAAAGTTGAGGATTTGAAATGAAAAATATTTGACTCAATCAAAGCTGTTGCAAGACATTCAAATGCCTTAATCGTTAGAAATGTGTTTCCATGTTTTTTCATCATGATACGTTATATAATGCATCATTCATTAAGATACATTAGAACCCAAGAGCCATGCCTTCCCACAACATTATTTTGTGTTGCAGTGATACTTTCACTGAGAAATTAAATTTTATTAGAACACATTACCATGTACAACAGGTAACTACCACAGAAATAAAGATTTTCTTTATATTCTAAAGCAGTCTACATTACTAGTCTACATTACCAGAATTATTTAATATTACGTACTCTGTGCCAACAGGAGTCAACATAGGCAAACCAAACTAATTTTCACGCTTTATATTCGCTTTTAAAGACACAAACGAAAGACTTTAAAACAGCTGACCTACTTCCTTAAATAAAAAATGAGAAGAAAAAAATCAGAGAAAATTTCAAAAATCGCAAGCAAGAGATGAACCCTGAAATCACTGAGGAGTAAGACAGAGAGAGATCCCCGCACTGAAAGAGTCCGTTTATCAATTAATATATATAAACTACATTGCCCCTGCTACTTAACAGATATAAAAGCACAATCTGCTCAGCTCAGAACCCCATTATACCATATATGCCACCAATATACCGTATTAAATCAGTTGTGATTATTGTTGTTGTAATGCTCAATTCCCAAATAAACAAAAGCAATCAGACAAAAGTTGTTTTTTAACGTCACATGGGTTACCACACTACTAGTTTTGATTTCTACTTTTTCCCAGAAAGTCTCTTTCAATTAGTGACCTGCTAAGAAGAATCAGTATTTTCTAAAGTAATGTCTTGTTTCTAGTAGCCAGTGGAAATTGATGTGCATGATGCAGATTTCTACATAACACCGATGACATGTGCTGGACACCATTTTTCCACCCCAGACGAAAAAAAAAGCTTGAAGAGACAATATGATCAGTCTCTTGTAGTATTAAGTCCATACGCACAATATAAATTCTGCCACAAAGTTTGAAGCAGAAGCTGTGTCAACCACATGGATCGAGTTCTGTTCTTGCACTACCATAGCTGTTTGGTAAAGTCTGTGGAATCAAACAGGACTTGATTCAGAGACTCAAATTTGACCAAGCAATACTAGGCTATGCCTCGAGGAACGGGTGTAGCAAAGATGTGTTTATAGTAGAACACTTTTGTTAGGAAGCTGGCCTGGAGAGGATTTAATGCGCAAATTAGCAATAAACTTCAACTGGCCATCCAAGGAACTGGCTATTATAGCCAGGCCACAGGAATTCCATTTTCCTCGTTGTACCTCCTGTATTCCTCTCTGGTGGGATGCAGGACAGAGGGCAGTGGTAACTCCAAGCCACCTGAAGCTTTCCCCAATACACTGCCTAAGAGTACTTAAAATAGCTGTCCTGTAAATGCAAACTGGACCTCTGAAATGCTCTAGTTCCACACTACTGCTACTAAGGATAAAATTTTGAAATAGAGATATTCCCCTAGTCATATGAGAGAAGCTGCCAAGAAAGTTATGATTCGTATTAAGGAAACACAAAATCTGTGTTTATTGGAAATAGGTCTAAATGTGTAAGCTACTAAAATTAAACAGTAACACCATGAACAAATGTAACAGCATATTTATTTATTTATTTATTTATTTAAAATATGTGTATGAAGTGAGCCTTAGGCAGCCTGGTGCACTTCAATATGAAGAGAAGGTCAGGGAGATGAGTGCTGGGCAATGGAAATTGTGCTTTTAAAATTCTTTTTTCCTGTCAGTGCTTCAAAGACTGGAAGATAACGAGAAGTGTGAACTGTGTGACTACTGAGCATTTTATCCCTTTTTCCCTTATCATATGACTAGAAAAAAAAAAGGAAAAGAATGAAATTACTAAAATATTGTTCATAACATCTGAAAATCACCTGCATGTATATAAATGTTTTATAAGCCTCCTACCTAAGTTGTAAGAACTTCTGTTCTTAAGGAATATGGGGAATTACATAGCACTTTATAGTTTTCTTTAGCACTTAAGCAACTTGGGGACTTTGACAGCTGTGTAGCATAGTCAGTCTTGTACACTAACTCAGTTAACAAAGATGGTACTACAAAGTACCCTACTGTCCTTGATAAAAAATCACAGTAAATAAATGAATGTGCAGCACTGTACAAGAAAAGGCCTACATAAAGGAAGGTCCAATTTAACACAGCCATAGTTTACTATGGAACAGTATTCATTGTTGCAAATGTGAAAACTGGCTTTGAATAGTGTTATTGTTGCAACCTCCTGTCCACTTCCCAAAATGCTTGACTGTACCTTCTATTTCAGTGTACAGGAACAGATGTTCGACTCGCAGGTGCGAGTGACATCTGAAAGCTGGCCTTCATCAAAGGTACCCTGTAAACAGTGCACCTGCAACAATGCAAAAAAACACTGGAAACACTGCTGTGTCCACCTGCAAACCCCATCCTTTGCTTGCTTTCCCCCTTTCATGTTAAGACATTTTCTCCCTGATAATTATATAATTATGTATATAATAAGTATTTCAGGATTCTCTATCAAGGCATCCAGCACCAGCCAAGCGCTATTACTACAGGCAGCCCTTCAATAACAAATCTGCACAGTTCATTCTTAGGGCGAAGAAATAAATCAGGGAGGCAAAACTAAAAAAGACATTAGAAAATCCTCCTAAACCCGGTGCAAAGTCGTGATTTCAGCCTCCAACGAGTCACAAATGACAGAGCACAGACCCAGCCTGCACCGCAACCGGTCCTCGAGCCACGGGCCGGGGCCGGGGCCGGGGCCGGGGCCGTGGCGGCTCGCACGGGCGCAGTAGCGCGCACCAGAGCAGCGCGCAGCGGAACTGTGCTGCGCTGGGCGGCCGCGTCCGGGACACGCACCCGTGACCCCCGCCCCGGGGCCTGCGCCCAAAGTGGTGCGTTTCTTCTGGAGCGCCGCGGGCGCTGACAACAGGGGCACGTGACCAGGAGTATTGGGGAGGGAAAAAGTATATATTATATATACATTAAAAAGTAAAATATGTATAACATGAAATGTCCCCAGGGCGGCTCCTGAACGCTTTCCCACGGGCAGGGTCAACTTTCCCCACATTGCACGCTTGCCCCCTCCGGCGCGGCGGGCTGCGCAGGGTGCGCGGGGCGGTGTCACTTGGCGGCCGCCGGCGCCTCCAGTTCCCGGGAACTTACCGGCGGGGCCGCCCCGTCCCTCGGCCTCCGGCGGCGCGGTTGCGGCTCAGGGAGACGGCATCCCCCGGGCTTCCTGCCTCCCCGCACCCCCCGGCTCCCCTCGGGCGTCCCGGCGCTGGGCTGCGTGACTTGTTTGGTGCGGCTGGCACCGTCTTTACCATATGCTGTAGAGGGAAGGAGGAGGAGAGATCGTGTGTATGTGGAGAGCGGGGAGGGGGGAATTAACTTTGCTCAATGGCGACAGTGCAGCAGCCTCAGCCCAAGCATCAGATCGATTTACTAAACAAACTGAAACGTGGGTGGGGATGTTAACCAGTAACCAGCAGCCTCAATGAAAACTGAAAGCCGCTCCTGCCGACACCGACTGGCCCTGCAAGCAGCTCGAGTCCCGCCGAGAGGCGGGACAGGCTCTCCCGGCCCGGCCAAGCTCAACCCGCCCCCTCTAGCCTGCGGCTGGCAGAGCCCACGGTGTCGCGTAGGGGCTTTGCCCCGCAGGCCCAGTGCCCCGACTCCAAAGCAGCGCCCCCGGCTGCCGGGATGCCGAGCTGCCGGTTCATGGGCCTCCCGCACCGGGCTACCCCTGCCCCGCTGTTTCCCCGGGGGAAGGGAAATACCCCCCAGGGCCGCCCTGCGCTGCCCCCGGGGGGGCAAAACCAGCCGCCCCGCAGGGGCCCCAGCTAATCGTGACCCCCGGCCGTCCTCAGCTGTCCTCAGCTCTCCGCCCTGTTCGGTAGCCACAGATTTACACCCAGACCTCAAGGATGTCGCTCCCTTCGCTGCACTGAAGCTGTTGGGAGGAGGGGGAGCGCCCCTATTTTAGTTAGGCGCCCGGTGGTATAGAGAAACAGGACCAAATACGGGGATCGCTGCAAACTCTGGGCTCCCTGAGCTGAAGACAATTCGTCGGTCTCTTAGGGAAGGTCGTGACACAAGGAAGTATTCATAAAATAGTAATTGTCACTGTCCTCCGATATTGAACATTCACAGACTCGAAACAATAATTAACGCCTCGCCTATGGTATCACCAGCTTACACCCACGGAGGCATTAGGAAGGAAGAAAATAATTCAAGGCACTGAAGGTGTGGTGTTGTCACTCCAAATATAATCCCGGGGGGGCCTTCTCGGAGGCGTGAGAGCAGGCTATTTGGAAGAAGTTCCCATGTAAGAACGCCTAAAGAAAGTCCCTGTGAAAAGGAAATGCCTCGCGTGGGTGCGTGAACGTGCCTGGCTCCATGGCACGCCCGTGGCAGTGATTTAACGACACTCTCACAGGAGAGCTCTACACAGGAAGGAAATTGAAAGAAAAAAAAAATATGAAAAATGTTCCCTTTCTCCAGTCTCTGAACGCGGCCGGTGACTGACTGGTTTCCCCAGTGTGGAGATCAGCGAATTTCCTCTACTTTCGTACCGGTGGTACCTCTCCATGTTGCAGTATCTCGTTAAGCTGGCCAATTCCTCATTGCCAGAGTTTGCCAATGGAAACTCTGGATCCAGTTCCTAGGTGGTTTCGATTGTCATTTGGAAGGAACAAAGGGAAATTTTCTTCACAATTCCCCCTCCCCCCCCCCCCCCCCCCCCCTACGAACCATTAATAACCACTGGAAATAACTGCCCAGATAGCCACAGGGAAGGTGTAAATATAACCAAAGCCCTCCAGTGTTATTTCAAAGGTGTTTTTAAAAGACCAGTAAAAGTCGCGAGGAATACTTCTTCCTGAGGAGTTCTTGCCCATCTCCCGCCGCAGATAAAATACTGCAGGCAAGGGCAGCGCTGACAGTGAAATAAACGTTACTGCTGCTGGCTACAGCGCGCCTCGGAGCAATCCGCAGGCGCAAATACCCGCTGTAAAAAGCGACCGTCACTTACACGGGGGCTGGTTTTTACCCCTCTTCTGAGCATCTCGGCCATATGCCGTGGGCTAATAACCAGTTTTCTTGGGTGACTACAGAGAACTGGTGAGAGTTTATTTGCTGTTTTAATTAGAATAAAGTTAGCATGCTAAAGCCATGTGGTCATCTGCATCCACTGTATTTCCACACTTGAGTCTGGAGGGGGGCCGCCCAGTATTCCAATCACCTCAAGCGTATAGAAACGTTATTATTATTATTTCTGTGGGAAAGGTACTGCTTCGTGCCAAAAGCAAATAGCTTGCAGAATAGTAAATGGAATTTCTTTCATGTGCGAGAATATTTGAGCCTATTTCTCATCACATAAGGCCACATTTGATTTAACCTTAATGTAACTAGTGGTTTTCATTTCGACTTCGGCGTTTCTTAAATGGTTTTTATGAAGTGGTTGCCTCTTTTAGTTATCAACGTTTTTGAGGTAGAGTGGGGGGCAGCATAGAGTCCCCTGACGGTCACCTCGCTGCCACTACTACCTCTGAAGCAGCATTTTCACGTGTCACCTCCACGATGAAATCATGCGACAGCCCGAAGAGCTGTGAATTGCCCGGGCGCCCGTCCCCGGGGGTCCCTCCTTCTTCCCCCAGGGTTGGGGGCTCCCGCCCCATCCAGTCCTGCTCCCCCCCTTCATCCGCTGAGGGTGGAGCACCAAGGCACTGGGGCAGCGGCGGGGACCTTCTGCCCAGGATTCCTGAAATCACTGGCTGGGCCATCAGGGAGAGGAGATGCCCTTTTTGCTTAGCACACTTCTCTCTAACTACGTCCCGGAAGGCAGGGCTAGGAGAGAGGACTGAAGTTAGGGGCAGAAACCTAGGTTGCCTTCTGCAGGGGAGGTAACGAATATTTCCAGGCGTTAACCTCAAGGGGGAAGTTCCAGGCAGTTCAGTTTCTGTGTCAATTTGGAGAAGCCCCTTTAAGCACCTGGCTGCTTCTGGCTGTGGCCGCAGCCCCTTAGTCCCCGCGGGCGCCCAGTGCGGTACGCTCCCGCAGCGCAACGCTCTGCCACCTCTGCCCGGGTCTGCCCTTCACCGACCTGCTCCAACCAGCGTTTGTCCTCCCTCGCCCGACAGATTATTCGGAGAGAGAAGGGGACCTGCCGGGGCTGACCTTGTTGGCGGCGGGGCCGGGGCGGGCAGCCGCTCATCGCGGCAATCCGCCCGGACTCCGCTCGCTTCATTCCGGTATCATTAACCCGCCGGTGAAGCAACTGTTTGTGTGCCCTCCCTCCCTTTCTCGCTCTTCCTCCCCTGGGCTGCTTTTTCCCTGTTACTGATCCATCTCTTGTAAATCATTTATGGGGAACCAGGCACTTGTCTCCTAGCAGGAGCTTCTCTTGAAAAACTTTCCCATCTTCAGGCAAGCGCGTTTTCTTTGTTAACACGACTGATAAAGGACCCCGACGTGCCTTCAAAAAGCATCTAAACGGCCGCCGCGAACCATAGTCACTTAGGGTCATGGGCTGCTTCTGGCTTTAAAAGCACAATACAGGAAACGATCAGGACCAAACCGGTTTAAAGAAACAGCTAGTTTCATGTGGTTACCTGAAACCGTACATGGGAAACGCGGTCTAATTTTACAGGTTCTGGCAGGGAGAGTTAGAGCTGGCTTCTGCAGAGCCCTTTCCCCTCCCCCTGATCAGACAGCACCTGGCATTCTGGTACTAACTAATGTCTCCGTGTTTCCTTGCTTCGAAAAACAGGGTCAGAGAGAAAGTGCGTTTTTCAAAAGAAAATGAGAAGCTATAAACACCTTTAAACTCCGAATCCTGAGATTACACCGGCACCACTCGGCTAGGAACCGATTTCAAGAGCTGAAATATTAAGAGACTCTGCTTTCTTTAGAGATTCTCTGGCTAAACTCTTAATTGCCAGGATTTCGTGAAAGATTTTCAGACTTTACGATCATTTATGATCCGTGCAATAAAAACTCGCTGATATGGGCAGACTGGTTCAAGGTGTAATGCAAAGATGTATTAGGTGCCCTTGGCAACTATCTGTGGGTGCTGTTTGTATTCTCCGAACACGCCCTTCACTGCAATGAACATTTCTGTAAACCGCGGGTTGGGTTGTTCATTTCCAGAGCTCTGAAGGTTCACACAAAAGAGCTATAGATTTCAGGCAGAGGAATCAACTGCTTAGAAACTAACTGTAGTCGCCCGAAGAGTTCAAATGCAAGTGAGATAATTACCCTTGACGAAAAGTAAACTTCGAGGGAAATCTATGCCTTTCCCCCTCATAAATTAAAAGCCCGCGAGAGAGCAGATTTGAGTATTCAGAGCTGCAGTGCTCTCCTGACCCCCGTCAAGGCGGAGATTACATTACTGTCCGCCACTGCAGAAGGCGGAGAGGTACCCCTCGAATTGGAAGACCCCTCAGAGGGTATTGACGCTCCTCCAATGATATTCTATTTAGAAGTCTCACAAGCCAGCACCCCAGGCATTTTAAAGATTATCCCCCTAAAGATCTTTGAAGATTATGCTAATGACTGCAGATTACAAGAGTTTACTGCGAGAGCGAAGAAACAAAACCAGCCTCGTGGCGGTCGCCCATGGTAATTTTCCGCCTCTCTTTTAAAATGATTTGCGGCGCCCTCCCCGCGGCCGTTCCCCTCATTAGCGGTGGAGTGAGGAGGGAGGCGAGGGGGGGCTCCCGTTGCCCCTCTGTGTCTGACGGTATGAAGGGGGGCTGCGCTTTTGAGGAGGCGGGGGGGGGAGCGCCGGGACGGACAGGGCAGCGGCGGCTGCAGCGGGGCGCGGGCGGCGTGGGAGACCCAGCCGTGCCACCTAGCGGCGCCGAACCGCCCTATCCACCGCTGCTGCGCTGCTGCCCGCAGACCCCTGCTGCTGCCCGCAGACTCCCCACGGCTGCCCGCAGACTCCCCGCGGCTGCCCGCCTCCTGCTGCTGCTGCCCTCGGCCCCCGCCGCCTCCGCCACCGCGGACGAGCGCAGCAGAACTGCAGCGTGCCCGCAGCTGGAGCGAAGCGGAGCTGCAGCCCTAGCCGGGAGCGGCTGCCTGTAAGCGAGAAACAGCAAAGTCGTGCCGCCTGCCGAAGTGTTCCACACGAGGCCTCCAATGTATTGCAGAGGAAAAGGAAATGATCGGCAGCCGAAAGACTTCATGCTTCCCGAATACTTCCTTCATGCCCACGCACCCATCTTGACCCTTTTACCCCACAAATGTTCATCATGTAGATAGACTGCTAAATAAAGTATAAGAACCCAGTCTCCGTCCTGTTTGTTCCACCTAACCCATGCCAGTGATACTGTTAACTTCTTCCCCGGAAAAAGCACATTTTCCGATCATGCAAATTATGGGTGGGGACACGTCATCATCAAGGACATTGTCATTAACGTAACGGTAGTGAGCATGTGGAGGTGCAAATCATGCTTCGCTGTGTTTGTTTTTCTGATTAAAAATCCTGCCAGGCTAAAGCTGAAATAAGGGCTCAGAAGCACAAACACAGTTACTGATACAATGAGAATATAATGAAAATGATTCTCCAGATGAAAACAGTAAGTGCACATTTGGAGACACTATTTTGATCTTGTTTAATGCAGGCCATGTTCATGGTATGCTTTATGCAAACTGCTATTATTTTCCTCCCAAAATACAGTCAAGATGCATGCATGAACAAAAGATAAAATGAAAAATACTTCGTAGCTATTGTGAGAACTTCAATATACCATATCTAAAAGCAGTGGTCATAGCAGATCAACGTTGTAAAGATTTGTTGCTTGGTCTGTGCTTGGGAAGTGTATAGTTCTATCATTATTTTATGTCATTCACATGATTTAGAATGTACCTCATGCTAATTTATAAAAGTGATCAGAAGGTTTCTATGCATGGCAATTTCCGTGGATACAAATCTGCTAGTCTACATGCTCTGTTCAGTATGGGCTATTCTGAAATGATCCTTACTCAAGTGGAGACATCTCCCTTTATTTCTGGGCATGCACTAGTGGCCTTAGACTGCATCCCAGGTCTTGGGAGATACCTTGGGAACTGTAGCGTAGGTAAACAGAGAACATTGCTGCTGGAAGAGATTTGAACAATATGAGTACACAGCAAAACTGCAACAGGTTGGAACAGAGATTAACAGCTCATGCATCTGATACACGAAGTAGATTTAGTTAGGGATGATTGAATTCAAAATGTAGGCGGGGCAAAAGAAGATCTTTTACTGATAAGTGGGCATAATTCACGCTGTGCACACTGATAAACAGAGTGTATACATTGATACTGACAGTGTAAACATGGCATATGAAAATCATCTTTTGCTGAGAATTGGGGATAATCCAGTCTCCATGACATCAGTTGATGAAAATTTCCTCAGTATTTTCAGCTGGGCTCTGTGGATAGCAAGCACCCTAGAAGTCTAATGAACCATTTAACAAATTCCATTTGTCTGGGTTAATAATAATGTCGTAAAATAAGTGGTCTGTCTGGGCTATTTTTATGCTCACATAGAAACAAAGAAGATGAGACAGTTCAACTCTGCTTAAGTGTTAAAGTGTACCAGCTATTTTTATAGCCCCTCAGAATGCCTTGTGCTTGGCACTGAATTAAAAAAACTACAGAACAGCTTAGGAGCACATTTTGGGTGCTAAATTGTTTAAAAGAATGTTTTTTAACTTATTCC